GTAAGTACCCTCTTGAAGTTTAGTTGGCCCAAACCTGTCCTAACAATAGTAACCGGGTTCTAAGGAAGCTCAATATCACTGGTTTGTTTTCTCGGGCATTGTTTCATCGCAAGCCTCTTTAATAGAGACCGAAATATCCCAAAAACCCAAACCTCAATTAGTGTAGTATCGAGTATCTACCAACTTCGGACTGCACGAAAACCGGACATCTCACTACGTCCTAATGGTCAAGTTGGTCAAGTAAAGGTTCTAGAAGTTAGTTAGTGATTCATGACATCACTCAGCGGCCCCGTCTTCTCCTTGACTACTCAAGGGCTACCTGTACCCACAAATATGTCACACTAACATAGCTATTGCTTAGACCATGTCAGTATACCCCGCACAGTTTCCACAACGTATTTCTACTTACCTATAAGGTATCCCAAATCCGGGTAGAGGATTCAAACTCAAACAAAGAACCAAAATGTAAAACATACAAGTCAAACAATGAAGGCAAATAAATATGATCTAGACCTAAGGTAACCCCACTTTTAAAGATAATTCTCCAGCAGAGTCGCCAGTTCTGTAATGCGGTGGGAGAATTGACTTGGTTATTTTACGTTTGATTGCAAATGTTGCGGTTAGCAAGAGTCGCCACCGACTTTTCTTTTATCCAAAAGGAAAGTCTGAAAAGAACAGGAAAGACCTTTGAGATGTTTTCTTGAGTTCGGGGGGTAGATTATGAAAAGGGAAGGTATTAGCACCCTTTTCATCTGTAGTTATCTACGGGCTCTTAGTTACTTGCTAGATCACTTGCTTTTGTTTGAAAATATGCTTTGTGTGGTTTTTGAAAGTATTTTGAAAAGGTTCCATCGTTTAGGAAAACTTTGTAATGATTCTCGTTCGTAAGAATGTATACAAAGTGTTGATCTTTTGAAAATGTTTTCAAGTTTGAAAGATGTTTTTGAAAGTGTTGGTGTTTGTTTTGAAAATAGCAAGGATGTTTTTGTTTTGAAATTGAGCAAGCAACTAGGAACAATCTACCTGCTCAAAAGTCTTTCATGTTTATTTCCTCTTTCCTTTGATATTGTTATCTTACCATTGATTTGGTAAGTAACCCTATCTTTGGATGTAAAAGAGACAGACAAGGGTCATCATATAGCCATGATTAAAAATGTTGTAAGATATCTTATCATTTTCTTTAGGGACTAAGATCACTTTTGAAAGGCAACTTTGATAGCGTCATCGAGTGACTATGATCTCGTATTTTTGATTGTTTTTGCTAAGATACCTCACATGCATAATATGGCCATTTTATAAGGTAACAAAGTGGATTTACCCTAAGGGTGTATGTGTGCAAGTGTATTGGTTTACATGCTTGATTTGTCTTTAAATTAGGGTTTGCTACTTGTTGATTTTATTCTTGCCATACAAACCCTAATTACTAGCATTTGTATATAAAGCATTAAATTACGGAAAATAAAAATAATAAGCTATTACGTCATTTAGGAGAGGGGGTATACAAATTTACAAATGGGAAATTTGCAAGAAAATTAAATCTAAATAGTTATTACAATAATATTGGATATTGTACAAAAATGAAGATAAAGATGCAAGAATATGAAATATGAAAAAGAAATGTGAATTTTGTTTGTTTTTTTTTTGTTTAGAAAAGGTTTTTGTTTTAATCTAATTAATTAGAAGAAAATTAATTAACTTAAAAGTAAGAAAATTAAACTAAGTTAATTAAAAAAATATTTTTTTAAGGTTTTTTATGAAGTTTCTTGTGAAAGGGTCTTAATTAAATTAAACTAGTATGAAAAAATTAATTAATTAAAAATCATAAGTTTCTAATTTAATTTCAATTAAAAAAGAAAATAAACTAAACCTAATTCTAATTATTATTTTATTTAAGAAAATAAATTAAATTTGTGTAAGAAAATATTTTATCTTTTTAGTCTTAAAGGAAATAAAATATAAATATATTATTACCTAAATAATAAATAAAAATGTTTGTGGGATTTTTATTAATAAAAACAATAATAATATTAATATTAATAATAAAAATAAATGAAAAATAAAATATGAAATAAAATGTGAAAATGAAGTCAGGGGTGTAAAACAGATTTTGAGTGTATGTGTGTAAAAAAGTTTATAGTCTGGTCCACTAACATTTTTTAAAGTCCGAAAAAAAAAAGAAACAAATGGGCTACGTTGCTATTGAGGAAACAGGGGGTATTGTTAAGAAAAAAAAGTCAGGCCCATGGGGTGGAGGCCCAAGCGCTACCTGAAACAAAAAAAAGAAAAATGACAAAAATGTGAAAAAATGCAAAAGGCATCGCTGAGGTTCGAACCCACGACCTCTACCAATAACGCGCGCTGCCTTACCACTGGGTGGCTGTACATTCGTTAACTTAAATGAAAGAATAAATACATAATGTAAAATGTCTCCAAAACCTGTACTTCATCTTCAAGCTTCAGCCAGCCAGACCACCTGTATCTCATTCATTTCTCAACAAAAATGGAAAATGCAAACATGAAAGTTTGTGCTATTTTTCCTCACGAATCTAACCATGTAAACAACTAAAGCTATAGATCAAAGATGAATGAGAATTTCTATGGCCCTAATTTGAACCCTAATTTTTTCAGAAACTTCAAACTTAAAATTCTCTAAGCTCAAGCCATGTAAATGAAAACTATGGATATGTACAGCTTCAGTGCGATGATATCTACATTTTATCTTCACAAATGAATCAATAATGATGCTTGTAGAGAGAGTTCAAAGTTAAGGAAACTTACCTCAAAACTGAAAATCGTATTCTGAGTTTGACCACTGCTCAAGGTGTTGTGATGATCAGAATAGCTTCAGTGACCCTCCATGATGCTAATGCAATGTTTAGTTTGTACTGGAGATGGCTGAATCGTGCTGGAGAAGTCCAAGTGCAAAGCTCTGTTTTTGAAAATGGAAGATGGTGCAAATGGTGTTACAGTCGTGTAACATGGCGTGGGATGAGTTCTAAATGGTGTATGAAAGCTTTGTGATTGAATTTGAGTGAGAACGCACGAGTGAAATGTGAGTTTGGAATTCAAAGAAAATAGAGTTTTTGTGCAAATTCTGATTTCAGGGTGTTTTAGGGAGTTTCTAGGCTTATCAATTTGTGTGTTAACTTGCATATAGTGCCTTTATTTATAAGCAAGAGGTTTGGAGTGCTCAAGTTAGTCTAAATTCAAAATCCATGTTTAAACTCAACATGTGATTTTGTTGACAAAATAAGTTTCCATGCATTGTACCTTTGTTCATAGAGTTGTTAGCCACTTTAAATACCATGCCTCTGACTTTGTGGATGGAGTGCAATCATAGAAAACAAGTTAGGAGCTCAAGAAGCTGACTTTGTGCATAAAACTTGCTTTACAAGAATGGATATGTTGCTTTCTCCCTAAAATGGCAAGTTAATTTGGATAATGTTTGAAATTCTTGGATAAGGGCACAATTAGTTGTGTAAGCCATTAATTATGGAGTGACAAACAAGTTTGAGGCCTGCAAAGTGAAGATTATGTAACATGGCTATGGATTTGGTTCATGTTGCATCACAAATTTTGCCTTGCAAAACAACTTGAAACCCTAACTTCTGGCCTTCGATTATCCTTGCTCACAAATGATCTCAAGGAGTTCTTGGATATTTTGAAAAGCTTGTAACGTGATCTACAACCCCTATTTGAATCACTTTTGTAAAATTCAAATGGAACAATGTGAAACTTGGGTCAGAAGTTAGGTCAAAATCTTGACCAAAAATGCTCAAAATTTCACTAAGTATTTTAGTTTCATGACCATGACTTCATGGATTAATAACTTGAGATCCAAGCATTTCTAGGAGAAGTTGTGTAAATCAATGTTTTAGATCTCATGTATATTTACAACTTTCATGTTGAAAGTTTCTTTTGAGTCATCTTGCATCATGGTGAAAAAATGGCTTAAAGTTGTGAAAAAATATGAAGTTTTCAATACTTAGAAAAATTTCTAAGTTTGAAAACTTTGACTTTTCAAAATGAAATCTTGACTTTTTGATTTCTTGATGAACAAGTTTCATATTTTTACATGTTTTGATGAATTGTGATCTTTGACACTTGATTTTGATCAAAAAGTCAAAGTTTGATCCAACTTCTCGCTTTAGTGGCAAGTCGCAAATATCCTCAAAAAAAACATTAGAAAACTCACACACAACAAACATATCAATAGCCACAGCATCACTTTCCATTCTCAAAGATGAGAACCACACAAATATCAGATCATCTCCTCTCAAGAATATTTCGATGTGACTGACATACATAAATTTTGAATCCATACTCCCTTAAGATTCAGAAAGCAAAATCACCTAAAAAAAACACCTACACTCTTCCAATGTGCGGCTAAATAAAGTAGGGGCTTAAAGCAAAACAAAAATAAAGATGTAATTAAATTCTTAACAACACGTAGTAAAGAAATTAAAACCCTCTCAACTCTTGTTAGTTCTAATACACCTACCTTATTCCCACTACACCGCTCCTTTCTATTCATGGAATGAATCAATAAAAAAGCGCGATTCGGGAAGACATGGAGGAAATCAACGGCTGAAATAGCGTTCAACGGACGGTAACGATTGAAAGAATACACCGCCTAAAAAAATAAAGTGGTTACCTTGCGTTGTTTTTAGGCTCATCTCAAAGAAAGGAATAACAGTTGAGAAGTGAACGGTAGGTGTGACTCGTGAGTGACAGTATGCTAACAAGTTATTATAAATTTTGATCCTATCCTTCTCTTCTCTTCTTCGAATATCTTTTCCTTATATTGCTTCGTAAATCTCCATTCTCATTCTTCTTCTACTTTGCATTACTTTGATGAATTACAAATTATGATATAAATTTGTTATGCCCATGCATTTTGAATTTCAATTTGAATTTGAATTGTCACGTACTCTTACTTTTATTATTATTATATTTGGCATCTAAAAATTGAATTTATTGATTTGTATGAATAGGAGAAAATGGTGAACAAATTGCATGGAATAGTGTTGTGTTTATTGGTGTCAACTCTTTTGGTTTCTGCGGTATCATTTGCATCAAGTGATGGTCTCAGAAGAATTGGATTGAAAAAGATTAAATTTGACCCTAACTATAAGCTTGCTGCTCGAGTTAGATCCAAAGATGCTGAGTTTTTCGGTAAAAAGTATAATGGCATAAACAATTTGCTTCATTCCGAACAAGCTGATGTTGTTGCGTTGAAGAATTACCTAGATGCTCAGTACTATGGTGAAATATTTATTGGAACATCTCCTCAGAAGTTTACCGTTGTTTTTGATACTGGTAGCTCTAATTTGTGGGTTCCCTCTTCCAAATGTGCCTTCTCGGTGAGCTCGTGTATATAATTGAATGTAATCACGTGTATCAGTGTGTTGACACCACTCATGTATTCAATTACAAGTGTTGGTGCTTTATATTTTTTCCTTTGTCGTTACTTGTATTTATTCACTTCGTTTTACATTTTTCTGCAGGTTGCATGCTACTTCCATGCCAAGTACAGGTCAACCAAATCAAATACTTATAAGAAAAATGGTTTGTTTCTCTCTCTCTCTCTCTCTTTATAATTTAAAAAATCAACTCTGATATTTGTGTTACTGCCTAGTGTTTATTACATTTCTCAAAGTAGTTTGAAGACTTCTTTTGTTGTTGTTTTTGTTGTTGTTGTTGTTGTTGTCTCTGTTGTGTTTAAATAGGAACAAACATGTATTCATTTCCCAAAAAATGAAACCAGATGAGGTCTTATAATATGCTTTTACCATTAGTTTGGAATTCTACTATCCACCCTTTGGTTATCGGCATTTCCTAGTTTTTGACGTATTGTAATTTGTTTTGGCATATCTCTACTACTACTTATATAATTCGCATTTGTTCTTGTGTTCTTCTATTTTGGGTCACTTGATATTTTGCATTTGTAGAGGGAATGCTATCTTTGTTTATTGTATAATATTTTTCTTGGCTTCTTCCTGTTATCTAGGGACTGCTGCTGCAATTCATTATGGTACTGGGGCAATTTCTGGCTTCTTTAGCTATGACAATGTCAAAGTTGGTGACATAGTTGTCAAAAATCAGGTAATACTGATCATTCATCTTGTTTGTGTCAAAATAAGGAAGGGGCAACTTTGCTTCTTTCCTAGTATGTTTGATTATTAATCATAGCACCTTTCGACCCCTGTCAGGAATTTATTGAAGCAACTAAGGAGCCCGGTGTTACCTTTTTGGTGGCCAAGTTTGATGGTATATTGGGACTTGGATTTCAAGAGATATCGGTTGGAAGTGCTGTTCCAGTGTGGTATGGTTACATCTAAATTTAATTTTTGGTTCATCGTTTTGTTAGGATTTTATTGAATGGTTGCCTTGCAAATGCTAGGTAAGGTTTATCAGACTCACTCAGTGGATGTGACCCTTCTTTAGATCTGTTTATAGTGGAAACCTTATAGCTCCAAACTTCCCTTTTATGTTAAAAGTTTATTAAATCATCATGCCATTATCGAACCTTACGTGTCACAGGTACAATATGGTTGAACAAGGTCTTATTCAAGAATCAGTATTTTCATTTTGGTTCAACCGTAAACCAGAGGAAGAGGAAGGGGGTGAGATTGTTTTTGGTGGTGTTGATCCTGCTCACTACAAGGGAAATCACACTTATGTTCCTGTGACAAGAAAAGGATATTGGCAGGCTAGTTAGTAAATATTATTTTCTTCTACATTCTTTTGGATTTTACCCTTTTTCTCTGATTTTCTGTTTTTTTTCTTTCTTTTTCAGTTTGATATGGAAGATGTAATTATTGATGGTAATTCCACTGGTATGTGTAGATAGAAATACCAATTTATTTTCCTAGTATATGATAGCATTTTCATATATGGGTCTTGGCATTAATTTCATTGGTTTGGCGTGTTCTTATTGTCATTTCAGGCGTTTGTGCTGATGGCTGTTCAGCCATTGCTGACTCGGGGACTTCTTTGTTAGCAGGTCCAACGGTATGAATAAATGCCTGTAGATGTAGATTAACATTTAGCCTTTTCTCTTTTCAACTGAAAAAAAATGCACTGGCTAATGCTTTTTACTAGTTTGTTGCTATCTATGACCATGTGGTTTATTAATGTAGACTGTAATTACCATGATAAACCATGCAATTGGAGCATCTGGAGTTGTAAGCAAAGAGTGCAAGACCATTGTTGCAGAGTATGGTCAAACAATATTGGACCTGCTTTTATCTGAAGTGAGTACCATTTTTAATTTGTTTTTGGCACATCTTTGTTGATTAGATTGTTACCTTTGTTCATGAATGATATGTTAGAAGAAATTTTCTTTTAGAATGAATTTTCCTAAACTTTTTCTTTACTCATTTATAGGCACAGCCGAAGAAGATCTGTTCCCAAATTGGATTGTGCGCTTTTGATGGCACTCGTGGTGTTACGTAAGGCCCAAATATGCTTTTACACTTTGACCCTTTGGTCATTGAATCAAAATACTATTGCACTGTGATTAACATTTTACCGGTCTTTCGTTTTTTTTTTTTCCACTTTTAGTTTGGGTATCAAGAGTGTAGTAGAAGAGAATGAAAGAAAATCATCTGGTGGTTTTCACACTGCTACTTGTTCTGCCTGTGAGATGGCAGTTGTTTGGATGCAGAACCAGCTGAAGCAAAACAAGACCCAAGACCAGATACTAACCTATATCAATAATGTGAGTTGGTTGTCTTAGTCCTGCTATTTGAGTATCCTGTTACACTCTTGATTCTCAGCTCAATGGTGATTTTGCAGCTTTGTGATAAAATGCCTAGCCCAATGGGAGAATCGGCTGTTGATTGTGAGAATATCTCTTCCTTGCCTGTAGTTTCCTTCACAATTGGTGGACGAACTTTTGACCTTGCCCCAGAGGAGGTAAAGTCCCCAATTTGATTGATCGCTTTTGCAATTGCTGGTGGCTATATTTTCTAATATCATCAAAATAAGTCAAGTTCACGGAGTGATATGAAATATATGGTGCCAATGCGTAGGGTAGTGCTAATCTCAAGTAATGGTTAAGTTGTCTAAGTGATTAAAACTTAAATTCACACTGGTATTTGCTTAAATGTGATTATGTGTACATGTATTTCCTATTGTTTTTCTTATTTTTACTATTTAATTAATTTAAGTTTAAGTTTGATCTAGCCTTTGTTTAGTTAAATGTGATTATGTGAGAACTCACTATGATTTACAACTTCTATAAACCAAGTCTAAAAATCATAGGGACGCTATTAAATCAAACACAGTGTGGATCCACAAACATGATACCCATATAAAATAGTTTGAACTACACTGTAAAGTTATGGAGTTGAGATCTTCTCCATTTCTTTAGAAATGGCTTAGTGTCATTACCAAGGTTTGGATTGTATAAATATCAAAGTATACAAAATGTATGTCACACTTTTAAATAATATAAATGTATTATACTTAAAAACTTTAGTAACGGCACTCTCCATTTCCTTTGAAAAATGGAGAGGATCTCAACTCAAAGTTATGCAGTAGCGATGTAGAATTTGCAGTTGTATATTTTTATGCATGAATGTTGTTCTGTTTCAATACTCTCTATTGTCATCAAGTCAATTCTCATTCAGTTTTCCATTTGGTTTATTCAGTACATACTTAAGGTGGGAGAAGGTCCTGCAGCTCAGTGCATTAGCGGCTTTATTGCTCTAGATGTTCCTCCTCCACGAGGCCCTCTCTGGTACGTAAAACATCTATTACTTCAAGACATTTACTTGCATAATTGAAATTTTCTTCTTTCATGAACCTTTCCCCCATTTTCAATTAATTGTGATAATTGCATTTATCTAAATGCAGGATCCTTGGAGATATCTTCATGGGGCGTTACCACACAGTCTTTGATTTTGGTAATTTAAGAGTCGGATTTGCTGATGCGGCTTAAAGAACGAACGCGCTCGTCTCTAGGATCACACTCTTATTTGCTATCTATTTGCAAACGCTGACAATCATAAACTATGTGTATACTGAGGGGTTGTCATTCCCACTTAGATGAACTAAATAGCTTCAATGATTTATGTGTGTCTATGGCCATATTATTGAGTCTCAAGATTATGTATGCAGTTTAGTAGCAAGATGCATTTAAGCTATTAATTAATATGGTGATTCCAAGTAACAAATCAGGGCTCTGTTTCAAAAAACAAAATCAAATCATTATTCATCTAAAATAGTGTATACTTTATTATAAATGAATTGAAAATCATTATTTAATATTTGCAATTTGTCAATTGGGTACGCGTGGTTACTTATAACCGACAGACAATGACAACAAGAGGAAAATAGGAAATGCATTTTTGAATATTAGAATAAATATAAATATTACTTTATTTAACTGATTATTAGGAATTGATGGTTCAGTTAAACATAGTAATATTTATATTTATTCTAATATTCAAAAATGCACTTCCTATTTTCCACACAAGTTTTAAAATTTGTTTTATAATTTTAAATATCAAACTAGTAACAAACCCGTGCTATCGCACGGGGTCTCGTCTGGATTCACATTATATTTATAGATTATTAAATTATTAAGTATGTTACCATGTTTTCAGTTGAGTATATGTCTCATGTAAACCATGTTGCTATTTAACTCCATATTTGTAGCAAGCGTCGGTCCTATCAACAAATCACGTCTGCATGAACAAATAGGAAAAATTATATACTTCTTGAAATACATGGAAAATGTACATACTATATATTTTAATTCAAAATAGATTTTTAATTTGAATCGTAAAGTATAAGATATAAAATTTACCAACTATCAAAGTGCTTGAAAGACTTCCTTCTACACAACATTAGTAGTAGTAGAACACGGTACATTCTCCTTGTCATGAATTAGGATTTTTAGCCCACTTTTGCTCTTAACTCTTGAAATTGCAACATATAATTGACCATGACTAAACACAGGAGTAGGCAAATACAATCCAACACTATCAAGAGATTGACCTTGTGACTTATTAATTGTCATTGCATAGGAGACAATAATCGAAAATTGTCTCCTAATCAACTTGAATGGCCAAGGTGAATCAGAAGGTGACATAGACATTCGTGGAATGTAAAAAATGTTACCTATGTTCTTTCCAGACATGATTTTTGCCTCAATGACATGATTTGCAAATCTTGTAACAATTAATCTTGTTCCGTTGCACAACTCATCGGCTTGGTCCAAATTTCTCATTAGCATAATAGGTGTACCAACCTTCAATTTGATCTTATGATTGGGAAGCCCTGGCGTTCTTAATTTACTGAGAAATTCAGGAGTTAGAACTTCATATGCTTCAGTATAACTTGAATCTGTTCTATCAATGGAATCAAAACTCAAATACTCTTTCTCTTCTCCTAAAAAAAAATTTAAAAGCAAAACATAAATAAATTAGTAAAACTATGTTCTTAAATATATATATATATATATATATATATATATATATATATATATATATATATATATATATATATATATATATATTATGAATGTAATAATACATTAAATATAAAACACATGTACCTGGTATCAAGTCTAATACATAATGATTGATTTTGTCCACAACTTCAATGGTTGAAGCAAGAATAGCCCGGAACCCCAATTCTTTGCTTCGTCGATGGCTGCAACATATTCCTTGTCATCGTTAAGAAAGCCCATTTCGAAGCATGCATCCCTAAAAGAATCCTAAACTTTTCCACCCACAAATTTATATCCTCATAGCAAGTTGGACCTTTGACGACTGTTAGCATCATTCTCAAGAAATATAACTCACCCGTACTTGGAAGGACCCAAATAAGTCTGCCAATTGTATTTCCTCTTTTACGCGGTCTCCATCGACGGTATCTTTTATCATAAACAAATTTGGAAAAAAATTGTGAGTACGTCAAATTCTTTGCCTCTGGGTATGCTTTGTTTGCTTCCATCCATGTCGTAAACATAGATTCTTTCACAGTTGGTTTGTCAAGCACCTCATCTATCAATTCATAATCGGTATAATAAACAGAGTTGTCTCCTTCAAGATGAAAGAACAACCTTTCAACTGCGGGTGATCTACCATGAATAGGAAATGAAAAAAGTCTCAAACATGCCTCACTTGGTGAGATATATCTGCAATCAAGATATTGCTTGATTTCGTCAACCATTCTGACCGAGGGAGATCCATCACCGTCAGTTTGGACAACAGCAGCAGTAATTCTATCATACCCCTTGTTAATATACTTAAATAAGTATTTAACTGAAGTACTTTGATTACACCACTCCATATTGATGTGTGCTTGGAATTTCTTCAACAAATATGGATTGTAAGGAACTACATATCTGTTATCAAGTTTGTATTTAAAATTATATTTTAATATTAGATAAACTATTAAAAATATAATTTCCTTAATTCTCATATATTAAATATGACTTTTAGAGTGATGCATGTCAATTGATCCCCATAAACACCAACAACTATATGTTTAGAAATATATCATAAAAAATTATATTAATTCTCTTTAATTTTTCATATATTTTGTGTGTTAGATACTAATCACTAAAAACTCATACATATTAAATATGACTCTTTGGAGTCATACATGTTATATTATAATGAATAATATAATCCATTCTTTACTAAAAAATAATCGCATAAAATTGTCTTTACTTTTGAAAAAGTATAAAATCAATCACTTACAACTTTAAGCTTAGAGAAGTAATATTGTTAACATTAATTGTTTATCTCTAATTTACCTTAAGATGTATTTTCATCTATTTATTTTTCTTTTTAACACTTGCTTATAAGTAAAATTTGCACATTACATGAATTACTTTACTAATATCTTTATCTATATAACTATTTAATTATACTATTAATCTATTTTAATATTTTGAATGCATTGTTTATATATAACTCTTTTTATGTTGTCAATTAATAGAAAAGTAAAATAATGGAAATACGTAAATATTTTTTATGGAAAAAAAGTTAATATTTTTTAAATATTTTTTCATGGTTTTAGATAATATAACATGAAAGTATAAATAGTGAAATACATTAAATACCACATTTTAAAATAAAAGGAAAGTATCAATTTATATATTTGATAGATAATGAAAAATACAAATTCATTATATTTGATATAGAGAATAAATTATTTTAAAGAAATATGTATAATAAGAGAATAAATTGTTTTAAAGAAATATATATATTAAAATGTAGCCATTGATGTTACTATTTAGACCTGTTAAAAAATCTGTATTAAAATGGACACAGAGAATCAAAATATGGGAATGAAGAAGAATTGAGGAGTGAAAGAGTAAGGGTTTAGAATGGCTATATATAGGGTTTAGAATGCATGGGAAGTTGTGATATCTTGGAATATTGATAACACAATTTTATATAGTATATTTGATTTAATTTTCATAGATAATGTTAGTATTTTTATTTAATTATTTCATTTTATTTTCATATTACGCCGGTATTTTTATTGTTTCAGGTATTTTATTTTAATTAGACAAATTGAGCAAAGTGAATAAATTAAGAGAGTTATTGGATTAAATATGCAAGAAATGAAGAAAAGGGGTGTGCAAAGCAAAAATGATGGATAAAAAGGTTTATTATCTCCAAACTGGGCCCAAACGAAATCAGGCCCATGCAAGCAAGAGAGCCCTAAAGGCACGTGCAAGAGTGAGACGCACATCTCAACTCTTCTCCTACAATTGAGGCGCCCGCCTCGGACCCTCCCCTTAGTGGGAGGCGCCCGTCTCAACGTGGTCAAAGGGAGGAGTAAATCTAGGGACGACCACCTCCACTCAAAGCAGTTAGAACGGGAAATTTGGGGAAAAGTGGTACGAGAATATCTCAAAACGTGGTTACATTCTACCACTATAAAGGGACACCAGGAAATCAAAAAAAGGGGCCGTTTTGAGCATTATTTTCCAGTTTCAGAATTTACCTTCCCGCATTATTATTTTCCATTGTAATTCAGTTTCCAGCAGTTATTTTCCAGCCAGTTCCTTTTCAAATACTTAAATTTTACTTCTGTTGAAGAACCGGGATTTTGTACGAATTGATTCAAGCTTCAAGAATTATTTCAAGCATTTATTTAATTCAGGTTTCTTATTTACATCGCTTTAATTTATTTAATTAATTATTTGCATGAGAGATATTTATTTAGCCATGAATTTATTTACGAATGTTAATTCCTTTAATGTATTCATGTCTGCTTTTATGAGTATGTCTGGCTAAATTATTTAAATATCGGTATGTAACGAGTTAACTTGAATGGATCCGGAATAAACAGGCTTGATTATATTTTATAAAATAAACACTTTTTCTGACTTAGTTATCTAATTTATTTTGTTAAAAAAGGTTTAGAAACCAACAAAGCGAAAGTTTGAGGCTAATAAACTGACTAAGATTAGAAACCAATAGAGCGACAGTTTGAGGTTTAAATCAGATAGTAGATACTAGGTATTGTTTTTAAAGACTGCGACAGCGTTTTAAAACCAATTAAACTTTATTTATTTTCAAAAAGTAATTTTAAAATCAATGGGATAGCGAAAGCATACATCAGAGTTTAAAATTATAATTTACTTCAATAGAGCGAAAGTTTGAGAATAGATTTTTGAATAAATACTTTTTGCTGAAAAAGATATTATTATCATTTTTAGAAAATAAGCCAGTGGAAAGCCGGATTCTTAAATGTTAACGAAGTACATACCGATATTCGCATTATTATTATTTCAATTAGAATTAAGTTTTATTACCCAAAAATTCCCCTAATTAATTATTCGATAGCTATAGCTTTACACAGTAGTTTAGGTTACGTTAGTTCGATTTATAGTCCCTTAGGTTCGATATCTTTTAAAACTACGCGATAGGGCTGTATACTTGCAGTCTCCCGATTAATTTAGACGATAAA